TTGAGAAAAGGGTCATAGTAGCCATAACCTTCAATGAATAAAAGAATGTTTATTAATGTATATCAATACATTCTAATGTAGAATTAAATTAATGGGGGCGACTGGGGTTTTATTGTGTGAAAACTACAATAGCGAATCTCTTCATTTTTATACCATATATGACTTACATTAAGGATTTCCATCCCTAATGGGACCAAATTCCCTACCCTTAAATATACGTCAAGTACAAAATACTCTGATATTTTATTAAAGCATTTAATAGTGGAAAAGGATTGCCCGCGAGAAATTTTCAAATTTTTTGTTAATTAAGCAGTAGTCAATTAACAAAGATTGCATTGAAGTCTTTGGGGAAAAGCTTTTTTTTTTTAAAAATAAAAATTCAAATAATTTGAATATCAATAAATCCTGCTGTGGAAAGATGCATTGAAACATTAAAAATAGAATAACAATTGAAAACAAATTTTTTACTGTCTAAATTTTTTTAATTGATTTTTTTTTATTAATTAAAAAGGGGAGATAACTCTTACCAAAATTCAAGGTCATGAATTAGGACACATCCCACTCTACATACTAATAGCAATAAATGGGAAGTATATCTAAATAAACTGAGTGTTTAATGCTTACATATCTGTTATGTTTTCAATTTCATTCAATTTGTTCCTATTAGGGGTTGTATACCTTAACTTTAGTGTACATGCAAAGTTTGGGGGAAATCTACCGTCCAGGTATTTTTGTGGGACCGTCTCAAAATACAGGTACATTTACTCTAGGATTATATAGGAAAATGCCCATTTATAGCACTTTAAAGCAAATCATACAAATACCACATTAGACTTTTTGTTCAAACTATAATAATTTAATTTTAGTTGTAACACGTCATTTGATTGGTTAAACGGGTTTATCCATTTTGTATAACATAACTTGCCTACGTCACAATGAGTTACGTCAAAAACGTATTACTCCGCTTGATGTTAATTTTAAAATAACGCTTAATTTTAAGAGTTTTTCGGGAGGAAATATTGTCTTATTGTCTACCCTGAAATTAAATTATAAGGAATGAAGCTTATTTCAACTTATTATCCGATATAACAAAACTTGGGGCAGTTTACGCTTTCTTATAAACCGCTTCGCGGTTTATAAAGCGTAAACTGCCCCAAGTTATGTTATATCGGATAACATAAGTTGAAATAAGCTTCATTCCTTAAATATTTGATGAGTAATACTATATTATACAAAATATGTAAGAAACACAAAATTGACCGTCTTGTTACCAGAGGGGGCGTCTCAAAGTACCAAAACTGAACGAATTTTCCTGTTTTATTAGAATACTACAAAATATGACGGGCACAAGGGATTTAAATGAAACCATTAAAAAAATAATGCAGACATTATCAACTGTCTATATTTTAAATTTGAAGAGCATATATTCATTATTTTTTGTTAAATAAGATTTTTATTACCCCTTTCTTTAAGAGATTCAGTATATCATAACGTCAAAAACACACTGTTACGACGTCAACCTACGTATGACTTGGAAAATCGGTTCAAAAATCAGTTATATAAAATTGTAATTACATTTTTATACCTACATTTTCTTAATCTTGTTAATTCTTAATATTTAAGCGAAAAAAAGTTGCTTTATAACAGTAAATACGCTTCATTTTACTATGATGGCTACAGAATCATAAATACATTTTTATAAACGGATGAGAAGCTTGGCTTTTCGTTTACTTATAACAGTTCAATGGAAACCACAGTCAGCCCCCTTAATTGAATTAGATCTGTTAAGAGATAGCGGAAGATTAAATCTTACTGATAGAACTCAGCCAATCAAATGCATGGATTAAAAATAAACACTGTCATATGGCTACCGAATCATATTAACATTTACATTTTTATAAACGATGAGGGGAAATGGTATGGTGAAGATATTAAAGTTACTTGGTCCTTGAAAGGGGGGGGGGGGGCTTAACCAACAAAACAAGTGAACCCTTTTTCATATATTTTATGTATATATTTGCAGAAAAGTTCATAGTAACTTTTAAGTGTGTTAAGATGACACAGAAGTGTGTATGGCTGTCTAATATCAAATAAAAATTTGATGAAAATTGTGATTTAATCTATTCGTTTTTTCTGATATACATGACGATGGTTGTATTTTCTGTATGTACCGAAATGTGAAAACAAAAACAAAAAGTTTAAAAATCATTTTAAAATAACATGAATGCCATCAAAGACCAATTTATAACAGAGTGAACCAATAGACACCGTTGAATTTTTCATAAAGAATTCTTCACCATGAAGAATCAATTCTTCGAAAGAAATGGAAGCATTTGATTGGCTGAATAAGTAGGTTATGTTCTTAGAGCGAGTAGACACCTATCATAAAGAGAATCATACCACGAGGTCCGTCCTCAGGTAAAACTTTCTCTAGACGAGGGAACATATCACTCAGAACCGGAAGTGCTGCAGCGATGTTACAACATTCCTTTACCATAGAATTCTCATACGGAAGTGAATATTTGCCATCCTCGTGAATCTTGACGATTCCTGTTGAAACAAGACAACCTAACCATTCCTGTATATACCTATAAAAGCGAAACATTTTGCACTACATTAAATATTCTTCCTTTGCAAAAGTTTTCCTTCATTGTGTATTCACATGAGTTATTCAAAACAAACACATGGAGATAACGAACGTATTGAAGATCAAAAATCCATAAAACGTTGCAAAATAAGGGCAGAGCAAACACGGACCTCCAAAATACATAACGTCATTCAGTAAGCATGTCGTCATTGATAGCAATTAATCTGTTTTAGTATATCATGTGGCGCGATGTGGCGTGTCTGAGAAAATATAGCATAAGAAGTATTTTTTCAAGGTTATCTACTTGTTCATTTGCATTTCATTGACGTTTAAAGTTTTCATAAATATATATCATATTTGTGAAATTTATATCGGTATTACATGTATCTATGCTGTATTTAGCATACATTACGTCCATTGTATATTGTTAAATACATGTAGTTCACAACTCCACCGATGACCGGGGACGTAGCAACAGGGGGGCCTGCCCCCCCCTCCCCCCACTTTTTTTGCCAACAATACTTTTACTATTGAATATGTTTATTGAAAGGCTGGTCCCCCCAACTTTAAACTAAAGTAAAGTAATATGAAGGAAATCTGATATTGTAAGCTTAAAAAATGGATATTGAAAGGAATTGATAGTGAAAAAAGTTTGCCTTTACCACCCCCCCCCCCCCACCCCCCAACGAAATAGGATTTTCGAGTTTGGGAAACTTTGAATGTTTCTTTTTCTTTTTCTTTTTTTTTTTGCTTGTCAACTTTTTCAGGTAAGAAAAAAAATTTCTGTGGCTGCCCCCCCCCCCCACTTTCAAAATCGATGCTACGTGTCTGATGACGAATCGAACACTCTACCACTAGGCTACCGTGAAAGGTTTTTTTGATCGATCACTAACCGTTATCTCAACCTATAAATCAAATATTTGAAAAAGAGAAGGTATGAATAGAAACAACTGTCAAGTTAATAAAAGTTTATCTAAGAATAATACCGGCATAAATAATAAAACTCAAGATTAAAGCATTTTTGTTTCTTAATCTTCACTGGTCTTGTTAAAAAAATAAAAAAAAGTTTTTTTCGTAACAAATACAATAATAAGACCTACCTTAACTTTTTACCTGTCTTCTGACTAAGTTCTTCTGCAGTGCAGGGATGTATTTTAATAAATTCATCAATAATTCCAGTTTTGTATCCAAAAGCCAACACGAGCGTGCTCAACCCGTCTCTTACAACTTTCTCTAAATCTCGAGTAGTTGAGTCACTCGCCATTGTAAGTGAAAATGAATGTCAAAGATATCTTTTATTAGGTATGCAACTAGAGTGCACTTGCTGATATACGGAATCCAGTTCATGTTATGTTTTTTTTAATGTATTTACTATTTTCAAGATTAAAGAAAATTGCACTAGAAAGATAATTTTCTTAATCAAGGAGAACAGTGAATATTTAATTATTATCCCATGTTTAACCCTTTATCCCGTTGATATTAATAGCTCATTTTCTTATCCACAGTTGTGACGTCACAATGGGTAATGCGCTAGAGTGATGAAGTTAAATAAAGTAGAGCACTTAACTATATAAAACAGTGTTAAACATTGATTGTGGTGTATAAAACATGGGATAAAAAGAATCTCACATGATTTACAGTTAGATATGATTTTTATCCAACTCGTTGTGTGTTTTTATCCCATCGCCAAGGCTCGGGGATATAAAACACACAACTCGTAGGATAGAAATCATATCTAACTACAAATCATGTGAGATCCTACATATATTCAAATATATTTTATTTTTTTTATTTCAAGCAATTTCTTTTGTGTTTGTTACAAGATGGATATGGAGATAACGAATAGTATTCAGTCTCAAAGTCCATAAAACAATACCAAATAAGAGCAGAGCAAACACGAACCCCCGAAACACCAGAGGTGGGATCAGGTGCCATGGAGGAGTGAGCATTACAACAAAGACTTTTGATTAAATGCATTTATATTAATTCTGAATTTTTTTATGGAACAAGTAAGTGATCAAATTTTGGAACAAGCCTCATAAGAAGCAGGGTATATAAAATTATAAAAGCAAATTCATGCACATACTTTACAACACATTTTGATAATATGTTGATAAAAGATTCCTGTTTTTCTTACTTTGTTTTACATACGAATCAACTCACTGATGTCTGAATCAAAGAAACATGTCATTAGCTTTTGAAAAAGAAAATAACGAGTAATGAAGCAGTGGCCTGGAATAAACGCTCTATCCGTCTTATAACGATGAATTATTCTAATATTTTATGTAATATAAAACACATCCTATATAAGACTTTAAAAAGTTCATCAAAGCTGAAAAAACCAAAATTAATCAACAGCATCAATACTGCGCCTATACCAATGGAAAAAGAAATTCTCTTTACTCCATTTTTTTTTACTGCAGACTGTTGGTATCCTTAAGTGATACTTATGCATCTAATTCCACCTTTATATCTTTCTTATTGTATGCTAAATGTAAAAAATGTCATTAATAAAGTGCAAAACTCAACTTTAATATATGTTGAAAAAACAACAACTGTAGAAAAAACACATTATGATAATAATTTTTTTTTTACATATACTAGGAAATAAAATATAGGCGTTAATAAACTGATTCAGAGTGAGAGGACGTTTGTTTCGATGTTCTTGTTATTTCTGGTAGAATATTCGAAACTTACAAGAATCATACAGACAGTTATTTGTTACTATAAATCGAATCTTTAACATATCCTGCCACTACGAATCTTAAGAAGCATGGTCTATGTTGATTACCTTTGGACATATTTGAGTAATTTTTGTTAAACCTTTACTTGTTACGTCATTGCCCTCTCCTTATGGCATATATATTTTGGAAGTATCATAGAATTATATTATTCTCTTATGTCTGTAGTATATGCGCCAGGGTTTTAAATTATTATATAATTGCAATAGACGACACGCGAAGCTGTGTTTTGAAGGTGGGGTCCTTTGATTTTCATGAATATCAAAAGAAATTTGTGAAAAGGTACCCACTTCAAAGCTTTCGTAAACATCGAGCGCAGATTTGTTCAAAGTCAGATCGAAATATAATGTGTATATTATATTTATATAGGTTGTGTGAAAATATTTTTGTTTTAACAACCTTGCGCTCTATGTTTTTTACTTAAAATTATCATGCTTTTAAATCTGGTCGGTGAGTACATTTACATAGGATTAACCTCTTATTGACCTACTAAGAATAGAAAATATGTCACGTGCATCCATACCGTCACAGGTGAATACCTCTGGAAAGTGTGTTTACTTTATGATGCTACACATGGAGCTTGTATTTGAACAGTACAATATCAACCACTTTCATTTTTTAAAATTGAAAACAAAGTTCTCATTAGACTTTGATTAATATCATTTTTATCACACAGTGGGCTTTGATGATTTTAATTCTTATGCATGTAATCGCAATTTTCCTGGGCATTGCCGCTGCGAAGAACACACGAAACAATATAGTAGTATAGGTATATAAATACACATTTAGACAATTTCTTCCGAAAAACAAACAAAAAACGAAGAAAAAAAAACACGCATTTCGTTTCCAAAAGAAGTAACAATTTCTTCACATTTAATCTAGAGAAATACATGTACACTATACTTACCACTTGAATATACACGTTTTGGGCTCATATAAATTCGGGGGAAAAAAAATTTTTCGAATTTGTTAACAGAATGGAACAAAAAAATGATTATTAAGTATGGATTTCATCTCCCAATCTTGTGAATTTCTTTAAAAGACGGAAAGAATCCGTTTGGAATACAATAATTTTTTTATTCCCACAACTGTACTTGAAGTGTATAACTATCCATATAAATCAGAATATTTATAACAGCATTTAGCGCGAAATTTAGAAATACACATACATGTCAGGAAGGTAGTATCGGGGGGGGGGGGCACGCACCTTGTTTTCGGAGATAAATCTAGCCCCCCCCCCCCCCCCAAAAAAAAATTCTTACGCTGTTACGATATGAATAAAATACACATTAATGTTTTTTTTATCATCAAATGAGTAAAAGTTTTAACTCCTACATAATCGATTTTTTTTCGAGTCCCTCTTTTCTTTCGCTTTATCAAACTGACGTATTTATTCTTGTCTAATTTTTTGAGAACACCAACTAAAACACCCCATAAACGAAAAGAAGAACCGCATCCACTACAAGTTAGGAAGAATGCGAAGAATATACAAAAAACAAGCATTAATATTTTAATATTTATCTATCTCACGCTACAGCTCATAATGTCTTTCCTTTATATAGTACCGCATATTTGAGTCATCTCACAATATGCGCCGTTATCAAAGCTTATCCTTTTATTATACGTCATCATTCACCTCCTTTTTGTGGAAAAAACTTATAAATGTGATAAGCCGGAATTTATTTATCCATCCATCCAGTGTCGGTACTTAGTCACTAGGTTTACGGGTTATTTCCCCTTTTCTATGCATCAATGAAAGTGAAAGGTGGGTAATAAATTACCGATTTATGTTTTTGTATTATGAAATATTTTATAATAATTTCCAGTTTTTAAAGTTAAGTTTCAGTCAAAGAAGTAAAACAGATTATCTTATTAACATTGATATTGCCCGATGGCAAGTATTTTATTGGATTGAAACAGATTGATTTGCCACCCGTCCATGCTTTAAACACTGGTACATGGTACAAAATTGCAATGTGGTTTAAAAACCAACTTATCAGCAGATTTTGAATGAATAAAAACTTATTAGTGAAATAATATATAAACAAAATGAAATAATGTTTGGATGAACTTCAACTTTATTGGTCCATGTTATTCAAGGTCATTTGCCAGTAAACATCCGTACACATGGTGGCCATATTT